CAGATTGCGAGAGATTGAATAAGCTTGTCTTCATATTTTCTAAAAAGTAGATAGACAAAATACGGTTGCAAAAGCAGTGGACTTCTGTGGAGGAGGACAAATACAGTAATACAATATCTCTGGGGAATTTATAATAGAGATGTGTGAATTAATATGTCTCATTATTTTTTGTCTTTTATGATATATAGATGAGGAAATAAACACATGATAGTAGCGCAGAATACCTTCAACTGAAATGTTGCCCTGATAAATGCAAACTGACATGCAGTTTTAATTTGTTTGTTCTTGACTGGGAATCACAGCATGCAGAATCTTAATGAGCCACGGGGTAATGATCACCAACTCCACACATGTTTATCTTGCATTGTATTTGCTGCTTGTGGCAGCTCCTTAATTTGGGTATATTGGTACCCCACTTTGAGACAGTTTTTTGGTGGCTTCATAAAGGTATTACGGTTATTACTGCACGCTCATGCTGTTGCTGGACAGTAGACATTCAGGTGATTCTGATGCAGTTCAGTTCATTTGTTCTGTGCTGAGAGGCAAGTAAATAAAATCTGACTCACTACAGAAGCTTTAAATAAGGTTGCCAGATAAGAATCCAATTTTCATATAGGTTAGGTACCATTTCCAGTTTTGTTTGAGGTTGAGATGGGGTTAGTGCCTGGATTCTCGGGTGATAACCTTTTCAAAAGTGATCTTTTCTTGTATCTGCCCTATGGTGGAAATCTGACAAGGCTGTTTTTTCTCCAGACCATACAGAGCCATTTTGCTGTTCTGTGAGAGCTGTCACTGTAGTGTCCCACTGGTTCACCACAGAGCTCAGTGTGGAGGAGCATTTGGCTCAGTGTTATATTATCTCCTGGCTCCTCCAGGAAACAGCTACTAAAATTAAGCCATGATTCAATTTGTTTGTTTCCCCAGTTGGCTTCTCCCTTTAGCTAGCCTTTGAGGCACACCTGATTATTCTCAGTAGATACCTGCCATCTTGAATTTCCTATACTCAGGAAGATAAAGCTCCTGCCAGCTTAGAACCATAATTTTTCATTTTATCTTCTCAGACTTTGCACGTAGTTTGGAGTAGGCTTGCAAGATCCAGGGAAGAGAGGAGTAGGGTTCGCCTACTGAACTGAGATTCTCTCTTCTGCTCAGAAAGAGTCTCAGCTATCCTGGGTGCTCTTAACATAGGCTGTATTCCAACATTTTACTCGTTGTATTGCCATCTCTTTTTTCCAACTCCTTTGTTTTAAGAAATAAAAGCTGCTTGTTTTCACTCCCAGGGGCCTCAGGGCCTAGTGGAACCGTCTTTGTGATCTCTCGTGAATGTCCAGTGGTTACTATCTACTTCCCATTAGTCCCTCATGACAGCAAACATTGCTCACTCGTTACATTTTCAAGTCTATTTGTACTTCCTCAAAAACTACCCTTACACTCTTGGAGGAACTCTTCATCTACATCCACCACTATTTCCTTAATGTCTTTCATTTCCCCATTAAAAGTCTCATATGTCTACAAAAACCTAATAATTAAGCGTAGACTGCTGGCTGCTGTTCACTCATTGTTTCCTTCTAAGTTGTACTCATTCTGTTGTCTTTCTGTATTATTTCATAAACTTTTGGATACAGAAAAAGGGGAATCAGGTCCTTTTTTTCCTATGTTTATAAAACTAAATATGTCAGAATTACTAAAATTTCTAGGCTGTATTCATGACAAGCACAATAAATGACAATATGGCATATCATTCCACAGAGTAAGTTAACATTGCATATCAAATGCTCAGTAGTAGTAAATGAACGTGCTCTTTCCAGCAAAATGCAACTCTGACCTCTTCTAAGTTATTATTTTTAATATGGGTCCAGATGATAGCAGTTTAAATAAAGTACTGAACTCATCTATTTTATTCTTAATTTATAGTGGTGCTTAGGGGATGTGCAGATATTTAAAAAGTGTAAAATCAATTAACTTGTGATCCAATTATTTGTGTTAGCCTCTATGGGGTTTTATTTCAGAGCACTGAATCACGCTCTCCCAGTTAAGCACTCTGCTTTGAGAATGTAAACCTTTCATTTTGAAATGTGATGAACCTGTGGTTATCTTTTTTCTATCTCCAAATCCAATTCCTATTCCTGGTTTTGAAATTCCCTTCTTTACTTTTGTTTTTGAAAGGAACCTAGTAAAAATATAACATTTTTTTTATAAATACCTGGAAGTCTACTCTTTATGGTAAAGGTGATTGAACAGGCAAAAGAGATCACCTTCTGGTTAATATACACTATATTTTTCTGGATCGCTGTATTTCACAGTAGATTCTTGTCTTTTGTAATCACAAATCTGTGATTTATTACACTTTTCATGTTATAAATTTAGAGTAGACCCATGTGACAATTCTGTGATTTGATCATTCTGCTTTTTCATCCATCTTGAACAGATTTTAGTCTAATGTTCCAGACAGCTTCAAAAACCCTCTGTGTTTATATAGTCATTTCTAAAATGCAAAGAATGCTAGAAGTGTACCACTATGCTTGGAATTATTTGGCTTGGCACAGCCTTTGCCTGTAGATGTTGTCATTTCCTTGATCTGCAGATGTCAGAAGCTCTGCAATTTTATGCCCCCAGCAAGTCTATGTGCTCTTTCTACACTACTCACTGCAACTGAAGCTATTGAGAGCCCTTCCTAAATAAGGAGAAAATAGGAATGCAGAAGAAAGCCAGCCCCAGCTGAGATACCCTTGAATTAGATACCCTTAAACTGACATTCAATATTTTTTTAACTAGCTGGTACAACATGACAACCTTTTCCCTCATAGTCTGGCACTGGTGGGGTAAGCATAATAAATTTATCTCACTGACTTCATGTTTTTGTATCTGAATAAAATAGCCAGATCTTTAAATATTTTACCCTTACAGGTCTTACTGTTCCCAGGATTATCAAGAGAGTATGAAACACTTAATTGAGTCAGATTAGTGATTTAAGGAAAACATCTTTCAGAAGGATCAATATGAATTAGGAGCAGATGCCCAGTGAAATCTAAAGGTTTGATTCTTTAGAATTAGATTCCTTAGAAGTCTGGTCACCTTTTTACATAGCTAAATAGGAATTGTTTGGTACTGAACACTTGTTGGGGAAAAATTCTGTCCCTTGTGCTTCTGATGTCTCATTTTATACATGCTCAAGCCGAGACAATATGAAACAAGACAAAAATATCAATCAGGCTAATTGCTTATTTTCAATTAGAGTAAGAGGTGTCCAAATGTGCTTTCCAATGACATCATTTCACTGAGCAGGAACGAATACAGTCTTGGTAATCATTCCTCTGTTTCCAAGATTCTTAAATAGAGCTTTTCTTCTGATTTGTTTCAAAGTAAGTGAAAATATTGTTATATTATCATTTAGAGTTAATTAAACTGCAAATGAGCTTAATGATCTGTCTGAAACAAAGCTCAATCACAACCTGTTACATATTAGCTATCAAAATCAAAATATTTTTTAAATTCTTTGTTAAATGTACCAAAGGAGATAGAAATAGCCAATCATTAATGTCATCCTTTTATAAAATCAGCTTTGAGACTGGAAAGCTTGAACTGAATGCTTACACTCAAATTACACAGCTAAATTGAAAAAGGATTTGGAAATGTAAGTCAAATATATTGGAAAAAATGAAAAAAAGATAACTGAATACAGGAAAAGACACAGTTGTCTCCTCTGTATTGCTACGAGGAAATCCATTTTACCTACGATTTGTCCAGATTGTGAAATCTATATATTAATAAAATATCATTCCCTGGATTCAGTATTCTCACAAAATCTTCTCTAGTGTTATAACTTCATGTGGTCTATAAGACAGAGGAAAAAGACATTTAGTCTATTGAGGTCTTGAAGCCACTTGGGTGACTTTTGGCCTTGAGTGATATATTATCACTGACGATGCAGCTTTTAAGCAGTGCACGTATGACAAAGCCTATTTGTGTCATTAAAGTTTGTAATTTTAGACTTTTGAAGCTTTAATCCCTAGAAATGCTAAAATTTCCTAGTGATCTATAATGGCATTGCTGATGTTCAGCACTTCTCAGGATTAGGTATGTTATCATTCTGGTTTGTCCACCTATAAAGCAGGTATTATCTTATCACTCTTACATACAGTGCTTTTAGCACATCAGCCTTGAAAATTGAGGAGTGTTATTAAGTGTGACCCTTACAAGTGTTTCCAGTGGTTTGCTCAATGTTTTTCCTACATAAATAAGAATGATGTTGTACACTGTTTGTCTGGATAGTAAATTAGAATTTTCTCATAGGGTTTTGCTAACTGAATATTCTGGTAGTGCAACAAACTTCTCGAGGTCATGAAAAATTCTTCCACTGGAAAAAGAAAGTAACACTGACTTTTAGCTATGCAGAAAAAGTGATAGCATGAAGCCAAATTATTTTTGAGTCTCTTAGAACAATCCCTCTAAAAATGGTATGGGTACACTTTTTGTGAAAAATGTTTTATGTATTGATAACAGTGTAGAGAAAATTTAATATGAGTGGGGTAATTTCTGAAAATAATAGTCTGAAATGGAAAAGTGGATTATTTGTAAATAGTAGTACATTCAAGGGCAAGAATGGGCTGTGTAAGTCATCTTCCTCTTCTGCTTAGCTATATGTATAGTCCCCTTTCTGATAGCATATGCACCTATGCAATACTGTATATATTTTCAAGATTCAGTTTTCCAGGAATATGAGATGAACTGTCTTCTTGTGATCAGAATCTTCCAAAGCTTGATTCCTATCACACTGCTGCTTATCTGCCATCTATTAAATGGAGAGCAGCTGTAAGTGCTACCTTATATTTTATGAGTGAGAATGTATTATTTAGAGCCTATAACATTCAGTTTCAGTCAATGATTGCATCTTTCTCCTGTTGTGTTAAATAATTAATGCTGGCTTGGATATTCTGTGTGTGTGTGTGTGTGTGGTCATTAATTGAAAACAGTAACAATTTCCTCTGTTTTCTTTCTAGTTTCAAGCCACAGTAAAGGAAGGAGTCACAGGTGTAATAGTAAACTTAACTGTTGGTGACCGAGATGACCCAGCCACTGGAGCATGGAGAGCTGTCTACACCATTATTAATGGAAATCCAGGGCAGAGTTTTGAAATCCATACCAATCCCCAGACTAATGAGGGAATGCTCTCTGTTGTCAAAGTAAGAACAATTGCTGTTGTACTGTATTATTACTGTAAAAGTCTACACACTAGATTTACTGCATAAGAGAAAGCCTGGCAAGGATAAGTTACCCAAAAACATACAGGTGGCTACCAGCCCGTGTCCAAACAACCCCTTCTTCTGTCACCGTAACCTTACTTCTTTACTCATAGGGACCTGCCTGTTGATAACTGTATTGCTGTTGTGCTTAAATAACAGCTAATTTTTCGGAAAGCAACACAATTAATAGTGAGACTTTACAAGAAAGTTTTCTTTGTGACTGAGGATACAATTAGAATTCAAGGGCCACATTTTGTTCTCAGTTAGAAAACACAGATGCAAATACCAGGGCAGTAAGGGATGTGGTTTCAAACTGAACTGGTAATCTGTCTTTGGTCCCATGTTTCTAAAGTCTCATGAAAAAAATGTATTGCCTGTCTTTGTATGAAGATAATATTTTAAAAAAAAAAAAAAAAAAAAGGCCCTATTTGCTGCCTGTACCAGAATTTTCTCTGTTTGACTTCAGAAGAGGCATGTCAGTTCTTAGACAAATGGTATGTATTTCCATGGCAGTGCTTTTGATTTCAAGGTAGATGTTGGTAAAGTTGCCTTATGTTACTTATAAGTAGCTGCTAAGTATGACTGATTTGTTTGCTAATGCATATTACATTATAAATAAGCATGTATATATGAGAATTAAATTGTATGTATGAGGTATGCTGAAAAAGTATACACTCTTGGATAGAGGGACATCTCCATCTTTCATTAAGTCCATTATGTTTGTTATCTTCAATGCACTTTATAACTGCTGTTATGTCTAATGCTAAACTCTGAGAAAGTATTAGATGCAATGAATGCTGTTGTCTCTTTCTGGCTCATTCTACTATCTTCTGCAAGTTTGTAATAGGGTACAAGGAAAAAGTGTTAAATACTGTCTCTGCACCTTGCACTCTGATTTTATGATATGTTTTACAGCCTTTGGACTATGAGATTTCGGCATTTCACACGCTGCTGATCAAAGTAGAAAATGAAGACCCGCTGATTCCAGACATAGCCTACGGCCCCAGTTCCACAGCGACAGTTCAGATCACTGTTGAGGATGTGAATGAAGGCCCAGTTTTTCACCCAAACCCAATGACAGTGACAAAACAGGAAAACATCCCTATTGGCAGTGTTGTGTTAACAGTAAACGCCACTGATCCAGATACTTTGCAACATCAGACTATCAGGTGAGTGCAGAACCCTCTAATTTTTATCCATCAGAAAGTATGTCTCCTGCACCCAAGAATTTGCCTGCCAGTACAGAGTTAAATTAAAGTTGTTTGGGCTCTATATAATAAGAAGTGAGCACACCTAGGTTAAATGGTGCCACTATTTTATATTTTGATCCAACTAAGTCCGGTCTTTTGGTTTTAGATTTGTTGAAAAATGAAAGATCAACTGCTAGTACTCTCTAGTACTAAACTGACTTTCCAGAAAGCTTTTCTCAGCATCTGAGAGTTCTAAAATGTGATCTGTTTTAATTTTTTATTCTTATTTGTGAGTCTAATTTCCCCTAGATATCAATGTATATAAAAGGGCATAAACATCTTTGTGAGAATGACTTCAAAGCTTTACCTGAACAATGTGCACTGTCAATCTGTCCTATAGAGGTAGATTTCTCTACTACCACAGGGTTATTTAGCAGTGATTGTGCACTTCTTAAAGAAGGTTTGACATATGTACTGTTTTACAAAAAAAGAAAGCTACTGATCTTGAAGATGTTCTCTGTCAGTAACAAATGTTGGTAAGCATTGCATTGCAAAGGACCACACTGACAGTCTTGGATTTGAATGATGAGAGGGTGAATTTAAGCAGGTGAGTGTGCTCATCTCCAAGAAAGGAGGGAAAATGCAAGGCAGATAATTAAAAGTTTCAATTCTCTGCATCACCTCAAAAATACCTAGTTAATGGAGTATGAATATTTCAGTTTTTCTCTATCAAAAATATCTTTGAATTCTGTCATTGAAATATCAGTTTATCTAAAGTATAATTCTTAGCATATGTCATTCCCTTTGTTTTCTAAGTGTATTTATTTATAGAATGCATTTTTATTCTTAGTTTTAGTTTTTGCTCCAAAGATTCCTTATTTCATTCACCATGGTCACACAAATTTGTGTCTATGGATGGAAAGCCTATGGAATTTCTATTGCTTGTCAGATACAGCAATGGAGATGTGCAGATGGATACAAACAAAAGGACAGAGAATTAGTAATACTACTTTCTTTAATTTTCAACCAAAAACTGAGATATGTCTAACTGCAGGGATATTTTTAGTTAGTGTTCTATATAAAACTTGTAGGAGGGGCTGATGATTATTTATAATCAGGAAGTTTAGTTACTGTACTACTTATAACATCATAAATGCAATTCAAGAACCATGAATAGTGTATAGAAACCATTTGTGCCATTGTCCACATCTAGATTGAATTTATTCTTTGAACATTGCATATCTGAATCACATTTAAATTACTTATCTCTTTGAAAAACATGGCTTACTTTGTAAAATTCTTAAAGACAGCTGTACTTTTGAAGCAATTTTTTTTCTTATTCTTCAGCTTGAAGTGTTTTTGTGGACTGAGAATTTCATTTAAAAGCTCAAACAAGCTGGCAAAAATGCATTACACCTAAAAAAACATGACTCCAAGCGTTTGTAAGACTCAAAAGCCTGTACTTTGAGCTCTAGCTATTTGTCTGCGCAGGATTAGCAGTGAACTTTCATGGTGTCAGCTGTTCTCTGATCTACTGACGTTAACATTTCAAAGAAACTCAAGGCAGAGGTAGAAACATCATCCTGGAAACAAGAACTGCATGCTCATATTGACCAGCTAAATAATGTAGGCATCGAGTTTAATCTTATTCTAAATTATACCTGTTTAAAACTAGGTTAACACTGATTTTCACAACTATGCCCAGATCTATGATTTCTGCAATGAGTCTAGTGAGCTTTGGACAATGGAGGTTGTAGAAAAGAAGGAGCAAACAGAACCGGTGTTCTTTACTGAACTCTTACCTTTGGATGGAAAATAACATTTGTTCCACTGTGATGACTCCCAGAAAGAAAACAAACCTGTTCAAGTTGGATCACATTTCTTAGATTCATTAACCTATTTTATTTTTTTAAGTATTTAATTCCCTCTACACTTTCCAACTTTTTTAGAATTAAAAAATGAAAGAAATCCAACAGGCCCCATTTTAATTATAATCCAACAATTTATTAATAGAACAGTAATGAAGTTTCTGAAATTTGATTTCTTAATCAGGGATCATTGTTATTTTTGTGCCAGATTTAAGAGTTTAATTTTGGGTACTTCTTCCCAACCTCTGAAATTTTAATCAGAAGTTTCAAGTGTACATGTCAATGAGAAGTTAAAGGCCAAATTTAATAACATTTTCTACCTTGGGAAATTAAAAGAAGAACCTTATTCTCTGAAATCCATTATTAACAGTAGATCTTAATTAAACACAGTTACGGTTCTCAATATTTATCTGTGTGAAGAGATTGGTTTCAGTATTTTTCCCTTTTTCCGATTCAACAAGTTCAGGATATTCAATAGTTAGACTTTTAACTATGTGTAAATAAGTTGTTTACTGCAGTGTATTTGTAATTTTTAATTAAAGCAACGTCGTTCTCTGGTTTCATGGTTTATCATGGCAATATATTTTTATTACCTTCTATGCTGTTGGATTTTAAATTATTTATGTAAATATATTATTGTGGTTTTTATTCGCAGTAAGCAATGTGACTCAATGCCTCAGAAATATCTTCACAAGAAAAGTTTATTATAGCTTTAAAGCATATCTAATTCATTAAGTAGAATTAAAATGCAGTATTTGAAGCTGGAGAACTTAGAAATGGAACCCAAACTGCAGTGAGTTTCACAGGAGTATGAAATACTGCCAAAAATATCTGAAGCAATATATGTAAATAAGATACATATTTTTGTGTGTAATTTTTTTTTATCTGCACCTGAATCCAGCTGGCCCCACGTAGTATGAGTGGATTCTGGAAGCATAGGTACATTGTCTTAATGGTGAAGTCTCAGCTGTAGAAATCTGAAAGCCAATTTTTTGCTTGGAAGTTGACATCCTTTTATTTGATTCTGGTTTCCTCATATCACCATATAATTAATTAAGTGGAATTACACAATATGAAACTAGTAAGTCTCCATTTGTTTGAGATTAATCATTTGAGATTAGAACAGCCTGTGGTGGACCCAGCTACCCAGCTGCCTGTTAACCTGCAGGCTGGATGTTCGACTGCTATAGCACTGCCATTGTACTGGCTGTGTGTCTGACAGCTCTGCTAGTCTGGAAATGGGAGCAAGGTCATGTTTATTATTGTAATAATTTCTAAATAATAGATACTGGTCTATCTGAAAGGTGCATAGACTCTGTTTTCTTTACATAAAGTGCATTTTTCTGTACTGCACACTGTCTATATTAATGAGGCTTCATCCTTGAACATCAGACTATGAGGATGATAAGGCTGAACCAAACAGACACTGAATTAAAAGTGATTGTGTTTGTTTATTTGTCATTTTGCCAGGAGCCACTGAACAATGGACTGGCCATTGACTTTGGGAATGGGAACTTTTACTACTGGGCCACATTTGGCTTTAGAATACATCATCATAAACTTGGGGTCGGTGCCTGTGAAGCTGGTGGAAATCAGTGGAAATATTCCAAACTTATTGGTGTCAACCATGATCTGCATGGTCTTTGTCAAAAAAATGACTGCCTAAAGTTCTGCAAAATAGTGCTTAAAATACACTTAAGTGGGATTTATAGTTCAGTGAGTTTCTTCCAAACCTCAAATACTTGAGAAAACTAAGGAGAATTCACTGGAAAGAGCAAGTTTACTTCTGCACTTCTCTTTGCTGCCAATCACCTCCCTTCCATGTAGTGAATACATAAGCCATGAATTGCAAAGGCAATTCAAAAAGCCTTTTTCATGTCTCTTGCCAGGAGTTTTTCTGAGATCCTGAACCCACTCTGCAGAAGGGTGAGGCTTCAAATCACATTCCTCACAAACACTTAAGGGATCAATTTTGCATACTTTGCTGCACATAAAGCCTTTTTAAAGCATTTTTGTTGCAGGTGGAGGTCGATAAACTTTCTTTTTTGGGGTACACTACAATTGCTTACAGAAGTACTCTAAACTGAGAGAAGGATAGAAAGTCTTAAAGTGAATACTTATGAAGTAACTCACTTAGTCACTGTTAAGTATGTCTCCTAGAGTCTGAAGGACTTGTCTTTGATTCCTAACAACGGGAGATTTGTTTTCCTTGTGCAGACAGAAGATTAGTTCTATTGTTATAAATGAATGGCTGAGCCATGCTCTCTGCCACTGCATGCCGAGTTTTTCACTGTAAGTTACACCCAAGAGCATCTCAAGCTGGCTCTGCAGTTTTATTCATGGCCTGCCTGCACCCAGCCATTGGGAATTTGTAGTGTATCTCTAGATATGAAGTTGCTGTATATCGGACAGTGCACATTGTTTTTCTCTTCCTTTCTCTTTTTTTTTTAAGTTAGAAGTAAAGCCAAGTAGAGAGGGAATCTGCTCAAAGCAAAAGGTTTTTCCTCTTCTGTCTTACCTGCAAAATTCTGAACCACAGAATCACTAATTCTGTAGAGCTCTATGCATTGGAGTATCCAGCACGTAATGCTGGAAGAGGAGAGATTTAATCACTCGTGAAAGAAAGAACTTGGCCAATTCCCTCATGCTACACAACTACCACCTACAATTGCAGGCACTCGCTAGTCAACCACTCAGCAGTATACTACACAACAATCTTTACACTAAAACCAAACTGTTTCTTGGATGCATTAATAGTATCTGTGTAGGTAATCACTCTGATGTGTGTATAGATATATGTTATCATAATATTAATATCTGAAGAGAAAAATTCATTTAAAAATGCATTACCTTTTTTTTTTGTTTGTTTGGGTTGCTGTTTGACCAAACTGCCTTCCACTTTTTGTTTACTGAACAAAGTAAATAAACCCCTCTTTCCCCATACAGTAAACTCTTTATGCCTACAGCAAGATGGGAAATAAGTAAAATTGTTTCTGGAGTGGTACTATACGTCCTTTATTCTCCTCTCATACCTGTGACCACACTGATGTAATTCTGGAAGGGCAATAATGGCTTAAGAGTAAAATCAGACCCCATTTTCCTGTTTAGCTG